GGGGGAACACAGGAAATGTGGGGACTTAAGGATGTTTCAAAAAGAGAGACGGGAAGATATGAATAAGATAACAGCGACCAACCTTCCTCATGGGTGGTGTTCCATTTTTAATCTTTAGCAGCAACTTCATGATCTTCCTTTCTTTCTGCTCCTCAGGGCTCAGGGTGGACTCATCCACCTCCACCTAAAACCAACACACATAAGCTGACACAGTTAACATCACACAAATCAAAAATCCAGGTGCTGATTTTACAGCATACAAAAATGCGATGCCCACCAGCAGCTTGTCAAAGTACTGGATATCATCGGGTTTGAGGAAGGGGAGGTTTCCAGAGGGCTGGTCGTTCATCTGTTTTGTGGTACGGTCCTCGGCCTGCATGTGGAAGCCTGTCATGCCCCCAATGGGAGTGGGTGTGGCCGACAGCTTACGGGCCGGAGTACGGATTGGCACGTAGCCTGCTGGTGGAGGCAAGACCTGTGGAGAAGAAAAATAAACTGTCAGTTCTGTGACACCTTTTATAATTATTTTTACTCAGGCTTTTGTCACTAGAGAACTGAGAGCAAAAGAAGGGGCATGGACCTTGTATCCCTCTGGGAACATGGCATCAAGCTCCTCATCGGTGAGAGGCCGGTTCCTCTCATCAATTTCCCGTTCCCACCTCCACGCCTGCAGCTGCTCTGGAGTCATGCTCATCAGGTGACCTGAAGAAAATTAGGAGGAAACTGATTTAACCACAGTAAAACCTTCCAAACCTTCCAAGGACTTGAGGATCCATGTGAGTAGTATACACATTTTTGGACTGCCATTAGCTTCTGCTAACATGGCTTGGTGTTTCAAGTACAAACCAAGACTACAGGATAATAAAAAGAAATAAACAGTTTTTCAAGTCTTATTCTGTTTGCTGTAAATATTCCTTCGGTTTATACTGGGCATTAAGTGATCCCTTACTAATAAAGAATTAATGGGATAAATTGGACCCTGTTTTGTGTAAAATGATATTCCAATGTTTTCCTCACATGCAAAACATCGACTTGATTTGAATTACACTTTTGAAGCCTTGAAAGTCAGTGAAATATATTTGTGCTCAAAAAGAATGTGGTTGGTTTTTGACCCTGGTCACTGACTGCACATTGAAAGGACATTAGGAGCTGATCTTTTAATGGTCAGAAGGAATGCACACAATAGCGTTTACCTGACTACTCAAGATTGTAAACCTACTTTTTAAAGGTGAAATGCAGTCAGACAAGAGACAAAAGGAGGAAATCAGAAATTACAGGATGAACATTTAATGCAATAAAACGTTGAGGCTCATTTACCTGGTGTTGGGGTAGCCATATTCATGGCTGGTGTTCCTATGGGTGTTTTTCCTGGGGTAAGTAGTGGTGTTGAGGATCCCATCTGACTGGCAGGAGTTTCATCCCACCGAGATTTCCTCTTGCTGGCCCCAGGGGTTGGAGTCTCGCCCACAGACTCGTCTCCTCTGTCTGTGCGTGGGGTTTCAGCCCAGCCGCTCCCGTGTCCTGGGGTCTCTCTGTCTGTCTTTGGGGTTTCATCCCAGCGGTTCTTGCGCACACTACCTGTGGCTCCACCATGGCCAGGTGTGGCGTGGCCAGGTGTGTCCCTGCCAGGGGTGGCGGCACCAGCAGGTGTGTGGCTGGGAGTGGGCTCCCACATGCGGGTACTGGGAGTGGCCCCTGGGGTCTCACTGCCTTTAGGGCGGCCTGGGGTTTCATCCCATCGGCTGTTTGAGGGTGTGTGTGCAGGGGTGTGTCCTGGAGTCTAAAAGGGAACAAAGAACTTGAGTGGAAACATGAACAAGTCCATCTATAGTTTCACAGTAATCTTATATTACTCGATTTCCTCAACACGTTACATCAAGTGCTTACAAAAAACTCCACTATAACATTTTTACCCAATGTAATGCACTAAAGTTATCAAGCAGCGAGTAAATGAAATTAGGATGGCTCACCTCAGCACTGGCATCAGCCTGGTCCCAGCTGGACATCTTTTTGGGTGTAGCATTAGAGGGGGTTTGGTCAGCTGTTTGGTCCCAGCGGCGCTTGCGTTTTGCGACAGCTTGAGTGGCAGCGGACCCATTGACAACTTTCAGGTCCCCTGACTTGGCCTTCTCTGCCAGCTGCTGACGAATCTCTCGCTACATGCAGGGGTGCACAAACATCAGATTGAACAACACAATTAAGATTTATCTAAATTCCATGTTTCAACAGTTTGTGGGTAGTGGCCTACCTCCTCTTTGGACAGGTTCTGCTCCAACATGACGTCCACGTATGACCTGACCTGCATCTTGGGGTCCGGCGTTTTACCTCCTGTGCGAAAGAGCACGAACAAGAACATAGGACACTCATCAGTACACACTCTGTGGACCCAGGTTATCAGAAACACAGCAAGCACAAACACAGCCAGCTAACCCTGACTCTCTTTACAAACACATTAACTTATGTTCCTGTTTTAAAGAGCTGAGTGATAAAACTAAGTCCTACTGAATTACATATAAATATACATTTGTCTTTCTTACACAGAGTCATAGCATTCTAATGAAAAACAAGCAAATACATAAAGAGAAGAGCTGAGGTTGTGGTGTTTTCTTTAAGTGGATTAAGAAGTTATAGCCATCACTGATGCAGGGGTCCTGGGCTGTGCTCTTCAGAATACGTACACTTTCAGTGCCAAGGGTCCTTCTGCAGTCAGACTTCAACCGGCAGAAAAGAAGCCTAGAAAATTTCTCTTTACCATTAGTAACACTTTGGAAAAGGGTTTGAACTCACACACAACAGTATACCACCTGTGTTGCATTGATTTACGGCACTCAAAAAACAAAGTATCTTCTTGGGGCATAACCACAAAACTAGAAAGAATTCATGTGAGACCCTGTGGTCCAGATTCCCCATTATTTATAGTAACAAGTAACAATGAAGTCAAGATTTTGAGGCTACATTTAAGAATGACATTACCACAGTACAATCAAAAACATGACTATGTACTTTTGCATTCAAATAGAAAGCCCATCTGTCAGAGCCGCACTGACTAACAGCACTGGTTATGATTTAATTACCATATATTTAGATCTTAACTTCCCTTTCAGGACATAGGTCACTGATAAAATAAAGATATGTAATCAAATATTTGGGCAGGAATTTTCCATCATGAATGCATGGGAAATGTTATCTACATTTGTTAAAAACCGATAAGCCAAATTAAAAAGACTTAAGAGGCTCTTGGGCTGGGCTGCATCTGATTCCCCTCACAGGCCCCAAACAAGCAGCCAGTGGACCCTGACCAAACTGACAAGCGCACACTTCTGTGTTCCCCATAACCTACACAGGATGAGTTGCTGCACCCTTAACAGAGTGCAGTACAGGACTGGCAAAGCAGTACTGCTGTAGGAGAGAAATTAAGGACAGTTAGTATGGGCCTGTGGTATTGTGGTACACAGTTTTCTTGATAACATATTTCTATTTTACAGAGAGAGTTGTAAAATAAAAATATATTTACACAACAACTTTGTACAAAGAGCTCTCTCTACATGCAGGCTTCAGATAAGCCCTACCTACTCCGAGCCTGAGGCCATTTACACTCACGTTGTCAGGGGAAGTGAAGATGCAATAAAAATATAAAGAAAGACAATCTAGTAAATGCCACTTATAGCTTTACATAAAATATATCCCAACTACACTTAGTGTAATTTCCAGGCACAATTTTGAAATCTAAACTGCATAACTAAACCTCAGTGTGCCTAGAAATGAAGATCCTCAGATTTGAAAAAAGCTGGCCATACTTAATAACTTGTCCTGTAGTTTATGCTGACAAGGACTTTGCATTCACAAGCCAACAGTGGCGGCAAGTTAGCAAAACCCACAAATTAGAGCCCAGACAAAGGCAATCTGATTTTTTTAATGACTTTACTTAACTCTACTAACCCTGGCTGACTATTTGACGAGCAGATCGCTCTCCCCTGCCTGCCTTGGCATCAAAACATCCGTCTACAAGTAGACTGTCATCAGCTACTGTGCTCAACATGGCAGAACACAGTGCATGAGCAGGTGAACTACAACTAAGCTAACCCTGACACTTTCCCATCATAATTTAGACTGATGCTCACATGGGGTTGTTAACCCTTCGACTCACACCACAACCCATCTGCAACCCATGTTTGTTAGGTGATTTACCCGCTCTGAACACTGAACACCTAACCACCTCTCCCACTGAAGAGCATGGTAACCCTACAATGACTTTAACTTTTATTTTATTGCAAACACCACGATAAAACTTTTATTTTGCACATTAAGATCGTTCCAAACCAAAATTCTGAAGACAAACTATGAGCCCACACAGACATTTATTGCAAAGTTGGGAACTGACTCAAATGTGGATCATTTATTAGGAAGGAAACGTAGAATGAGACAAAATGTTCTTGCAGCACAAAGGATTGACCAGAGGGAAGGCATCAAGTCTGGGAAGCAGGCGATTGCATTGTGGTCGAAGGGTTGAAGAGCAAAACTACGAGTTTGAAACCAGTGGCAGTCATGAAGGGTCAAAGTGAACCGTGAACAGGGGGAGGCAATGGGGAACATTTAATGAAGACAAAAAGTAGCTGAATTTACCATCTGCGAAAGGGTCGAGACGCTCTGGTGAGATGATCATCTGTCTGCGTCGGGCTTTGTATTCATCTTCTCGCTCTGCGATCTTCTGTGGGCGATGCTCTGCAAATGGGTCATACTGCAAAAAGAACAACAGACACAGGGCCTAAGTTTCTAACTGGAAAAAAGGTGCTCCAATGAACAAGTAACAAAATTTAATTCTGCTTCATTACAGTGTCAGATAACTCACTTTGATACCACACAGAATGTATCTGATGGCAAGAATACAGGGATGAATTGTGATACTTGTGACACAATAGACTAACACGTACTTGCTCATCTGACTGAGGAATGGCATTGAGTATTGCCACTGGCGCATGGTACCCTGGCTTCTTTTGCCCCAACAAGCTAGTTGATGTATCATCTTCATCATCCTGAGAAAAGAAAGAGAAACACGAGTCTAGTCAAATCTCACCACAACGGCAAGACTCTCCTAGCTCACATGCAACAGGCAAAGGGGAGCAGTCAAGCTCCAACAAGAATATGTGGAAGTGCAATAAACTGAAAGCGATAAAACAGGACCATACACTATTTAGACAAAGGAGGACTTAACTTGTCTGCTGTAACAATCAACAGGTTATATTCCTCAATTACAGCCACATTAGCTCCACAAATAAAGACACACGGGTTTACCGGCAATGTCAGTAAACATATACTCAGCCTCCCACCGGTTT